TCACGATCAAAGTCCAAGCCTATAACGTCCAACATTCCACGAACATAGTATACAGGGTACTGGTCCACAGCACGACAATAATAATCTTCTGTCACACTAAATATCTCTTATAACTATCTTAATCATAATTTTTTGCATATAATAAACTTTATTTTTAATGATTATATTATAATCAGGAAACTTTATATAGAAGATTTTCAGTTTCATATTAATAATTGTATAATTTTTGCAATTAGATAAAAAATCTTATGAAACTTAAAATTGTCAAACTAAACAAAATTTTAAATCATGTAATTAATTAAATTGTCATAAACAAAGCAATAATCATAATTTTATTTAATTTTAATTATATTGTCAATTATATATACTATTAAGTATTAATTATTTAGTATTTTAAGATACAGCATTAAACTAATATTAATGCTTATATTATTGCAATTTTCAATTGTGATATTAAAAATCTTTGCTTTCTTATACTTTATATCAGAATTAGCTTCATTGTTAAATTCAGCTTTAGATTTATTATCTTTAGCTTTAAACTTGTTATCAATAGCTTTGAGTTCATCATTGATTTTAGCTTCACTAAATTTACTGGAAGTATTTAGTTTATACATTTTTGTTATAGATCTTTGTTATATGTAAATCAGTAATAGAAGCTACTGCTTATTATTTTTTTGTATTTGAAAATTTTTAGTGACATCTAGAATCAACAAACACTACTTGAGATTTTTTTATTTAGATCTGATATAGCACTAAATAAGTGTGTAATATTTGAGCACAGCTTAATAATATTTCTATTTGTACTGTTGTTTTTGATTGCTAAAAAATTTCATTAAGATTTATGATTAAGAATGTCTTTAATTATGTTTGGTAAGCTATTTAGTTTTATAAATATTTGTATAGTAGTTTTTATAATTACTGAAGCTAAGAGGAGTGAAGTCAAGAATATCTAGCTGAAGCTAGATAGTGAAGTGAAAGCCTTTCAAGCCTTACTAAATTTCAAGAATGTATAGTTTTACTTTGGTTTGCTAGAGCAGAATAAAAGTTTTTTAAGTCTTACTTCACTGAATTTCAGAAATATTTAGTTCAACTAGTTAGGATAGCAAAGTAAGCCTTACTTTACTGAATTTCACAAATGTCTGAATATGATTTAACTACTAGATTGATAAAAAGTAACTGCTATGATCTTTTTACTATTTCTGATAATATTGATTATTTATTATATTTACATAATACTAGTATAAGTATTAAATAGTAAAGCTCTACGATTGCATTGTAATGTAAGGTTAATACAGTTAAATGATTAAATTATCTGCTTTATAACTTTTTGGTAATATTGTTGAGGAATAGACTTTTCACAAATAAAATAACATGATTTTAGTTAGGAGATTATGAGTCATTTGTGTTATATATAAGTTACACAAAAAAAGTTCAATGATCACATTAATCTGAGGAACTAGAAAGATGGATGCCTGCTTAGCAAGACCCAAGTAGAGAGGTAGCACAAATCTTTGATGGTATTACATAAAGGACTATTATTAAAAGAACTGGTAAATACTGAATAAGACCCAAGTGTATAGCAAAACACTCCACCAACCAGGATGCCAGAGCTGGAAAAAAAGAATCTGCTTAACTGCAAAATACCTTGAGACTAGTAAACCTGTAGGCGAAAGTCTCTTCTGAGCCAACTAGATTGTGAATTTGAGATGCCGAATGATGAGTGTTTGGAGAGACACTCCACCAATCTGGCCGCTAGAATTGGAGGAAAAGGATCTGCTTGACCGCAGAATACCAGAGGACTGGTATACCTGCAGGCGAAAGTTCTATCTGAGCCATCTGGATTGGTAGTTTAGAAACATTGAAAATATTGGTAATAGTCTGTAAAGTAGATACTGGGGTTTGGGTAAACTCTACAAAGGAAGAAGTAGATAATAATAGTGGCTTTGGTTCGCAAGTACTTGTTCTCGGACTTGGTGTAAGTTACCAAAGTTTAGGTTAGCCAGATTGTAGTATAGAAAGCTCTAGCAATGATGCCTTGAGGATAAATTAGTCCTAAGGCTACAACACACATTCAGGACTTCTTGACTAACAAATGTAACGAAGATGTCCTAGTAATATAAGTGAAATATGTATGTTATAGAGGGTTTAAATAGATAATCTCCTAGTTGGGTTATAGGTATGGAAAATAGTGTAGACCTTACAGGATACTGTCACAGACTACTTAAATAGGCAATCAAAAGTTGCATGTATAGCTACTTGTACTCTCTAATGTAATTGGGGTTTCATTGTGGGCCCCACCCAGTATATTTGAATAAAAACCTCTATACTAAAGAGGCTAGTAAAAAAAAAAATAACATAATTTTAGCTGATTTAAAATTTGTTTAAGCTTTTTCACAAGCAACATTTGTTTATATATAAGCAGACAAAAAGAAGCAAACATAATATAACAATCCTCTTCGAAATAATATATGATAGTGATCCCAATTTCTATATGTTTTTTCCTTCATAATAAAGAGTCAATTAAGCAATAATAAAAAATTTTTACCAGAAAAAAAAAGCTGTATAGCCAGATTACAAATCACTTTTTATAATATAAAAATAATTATATAATTTTGTGTGGCCTAATTATATTAAAATTTTATTTTTTATTTTTAAAAAAAAGATCTATTTGATATTATTAAAATTTAAAGACAATTTAACCAATAATTAAAGCTTTAGCCTATAAAACACCACTGTTACACTTGTCTATTTTTTAAAAATCATATATTTAAATCAAGATGATAATATTAAATTAGTTATAATTCAGATGTTTCATTGCTATATTTTAAATCAAAAACTACTATATACTAATTGGTTGCTGTGTATTAAGCTGCTCAAAACTTTTAAATAGTAAATAAAATTATATATACTTGTAAACTGTTATATAATCCCAAATCATAAACTCACCTTATACTAGAACTGGGTAACAAAAGATCTTAAATGAAATGAAGTTCTTTTCAAACAACTAGATCATATGCCATAAATGCAACATGTGTATTTTCAAAACTATATACTGTATCTGAATCTAATATAAAGTAAAATTTAACAAACTTGAGTTTTGTGCATAAAGCAAATTGCTTAATGTGATTAGATATCAAATTAATTGATACACCCTATTTGTATAATCAAATTTTTTAGGGTGCATCAATGATCTGCATGAATTTCAAAAATCTGCAGATATAAATAGAAAATTTAATAAAGAAAAAAACAAGATTTAATAAAAGAAAAGATTTGGGTAAAAAAAAGGTTTAGATAAAAGAGAAGATTTAATAAAAGAAAAGGTATTGCTAAAATGATTATTATAAATAGTTAATCACATATTAAATTATGATAATATGTAGTCAAATAAATATCTGGTAACATGCTTCTAGAGTTATCTATTTATTTCTTGAGAAGAAATAAATAATACTAATTTATAATTTAATCTTTTAAATAAATAATCCAGAATCGCTGTTTGTCTTTTGAAATCTTTTGTATACAAGAAGCAATATGTTTTAGTCTAGTAAACATGAGTTGTTAAAAGTAGTAAGTTGTTCAAAATACAAAATATAATGATATCAAAGTTGTTTTTTAAGATTAAGTATTTAGAATATGAAGAGAGCAAGAAATAGAATATTATATGTTGTATTAGAAGTAAATACTATATCAAGATGTTTAAAAAGTTGAATAATTTTATAGTTGGTTGAGTGTTTGTTAGGTCTGTCAATTCTAAGATTATTATATATTAAAATATTAGTAGGTGGCATATGAATGAAAATATCAGGCCCAAGTATAGAAATATCATGTATGAGAACAAGAACAATAATAAGAATTCTGACAACAAAAATGCAAATTTTGAGAATGTAAATGAGAGAATTCAGAAGATGAATTAGAACTGTAGTAAGAATGTAAACAGCTTCTTTTTTTAAAATTCATTACTTGCTATGATTTTAGGGATGGTTTAAAATGAAAGGCATTGAATATAGCATGATTTTAAATAGGAAAAAACTTCAAAAAAATCTAAAATTTTCTAAAACTAATATAAATTTAAAAAAAGATACATTAGCTAAATATATATCACAGCAAAACAATTATTCTGAAGTATATTTACCTACAGAATACTAGTGAGCAAAAAAATAAAAAAGTCAAAAAGCTAATAGTTATATATTATGACTTAAAGTTTTGTCAAAACTTGTGTAATATATTTATCTAAGAATACTGGCAGAAGAAAATAGAAA